GGGGGGTTTGGAATAGATGACTGCAAGCTGAGGTTTGTTCTTGTTTTAGTATATTTCCCTTTATCGTTCGAAATTGTGCTGAACATCAATTCAAAAGTTGTTTTGTGTGAGAGAGAGAGTGAGAGAGAGAGTGAGAGAGCTCTTTGAGGATGGTGAAGAGCTGTGAGCTTTGTAAGGCTCGGGCGAGGATGTACTGCGAGTCGGACCAGGCGGGTTTATGCTGGGACTGCGACGCGAACGTTCACTCGGCGAACTTTCTTGTGGCGAGGCATTCGAGGACTCTTCTGTGCCATGTTTGCCAGTCTCCGACGGCTTGGAATGCCTCCGGACAGAAACTCGGACGGACGGTGTCTGTGTGTGAGATTTGCGTTGAAAAATCGGGTGAAACAGAGGACACGGACGGCGATTGGGCGGAAGAGAGCGGAGTAGGTAATGTTGATGAGATTGATACAGAAGATGATGACTATTATGATGATGACGATGAGGAGGAGAAGGACGACAACGAAAGTTTGTGTTGATGATGAGGAGGATGGGGACAATCAGGTGGTGCCGTGGTCATCTACGCCTCCTCCACCGTCGGCGAGCTCATCGAGCAGTGAAGAGTCATCCAGCAGAGCTAGAGAGGTTTCCTTGAAGAGAACGCATGAGATTGTTGCAGATCTTCGCTCCAATGTATGAACTTTCTTCCATATTCTTATTTTTGTTCCATTGTTTGTAAAAATATAAAAATTCCCCAATAATTTTCAATTTCGGTTTGAATTTCGTTTTGGATTCGTGTTTTTTTTTTCTTTGTTATTTTGATCGTGGAAATTGTACGGTGTTATTTTAGTCGTACACAGGCGTTTTCAGTTTCAGAATGATCGCATTTTTTTTCCAATGATTCTGATTTCACCGTCAAATCACGCAATTACTCACATAAATATCTTTTTTATTTTCCAATTACCTCATTTCTTCAACTCCCTAGCCTTAAATCATCAATTATTTTCACGATCTTTTCTCTTTATTTCTTTTCTTTTTCTATAAGAGAATTATCTGCTCTTCGAGGCTAAACGGTGAGGTTTTGTTGTTACCATCACAGGATGATCTCGGCTGTTTATCTCCTCAAAGAAATAGCCATACGGCGCCGTCATCTTCTCCGGCGGTTTCTGCTGTCGGTGGAGATGACGAAGCATTTGTTGACTCATTGTCATCCAGGCCGTTGAAAAGTCGGAGAATTGAGTCGAACCGTTCGGATCGGGTTCATGATGGGCCGTCCGGTTCGAGATCTGCGGCAATAGTGGAGTGTCTCAGAAGATTCCACGAGGAAGGCGTGAACGCGGTGGCTGGAATCTGTGGGCTGAGCAAAGAGCCGGAAGCCGTCGATTTCGATTCGTCTGAGTCTCCTTAACCGTTGGATATTATGTGGTAATATTAGTTTCTGATTAACCTGCTTTTGCTGACTAAACCGCTATTTGAAAAATGTAAGTTGATAGATTTACATGTTAATTTTGATATACAGATATTATTAGTCTTTGGTCAACTAGTTTCTGATTGTGATTTGTACCTAAAAATTACATTTGCTGAGAATATTTGAAGCAATCATTCGATCGGTTTCCTCCTATTAAATTTCCTCTCTCCGTCCACTGCCTCTCTTGGTTTCTTTCTCTCTCAATTCTGCCATTCGAGATCATAAGGTCAATTCTTACCTAAGCAAGACTTTTCTTTTGGGCCTTTCCAATTGGGGGTTTTTATTGTGTGTTTAAAGATTTTGTTCGCAATCCGGTGAACCTATATCCATCGTGAATTCTCTGCTTCTGGTGTAGATCACACACACGTCTTTTGCTCGGACACTTTTGAGTGTTGATTAAAAATAAAATAAAATTTGTTCACTTATTTGTGGATATTTTTATTCTCTTCCATAGTAGTTAGTCAAGGGTCAAATATCCACAAATAAGTGACCTAATTTTTTTTTTTTTTATCAACGGTCATTGTTTCGGTTGTATAAAAAATAGAAATATTTTAAAAATATATTTTGAAAACAAAAATAAAATGTTGAAAATGTATTTTTAAAACATTCCAAAACATAAGTAAATATATATCCGTTGAAACATTTACAAACATTCTAAAATATTTGTTGAAAATATGTTGAAACGTTTAAGTGTAGATTCAATCATTGATTTTCATTTTGGTTTTTTCTGAAAATAGAAATATTTTGTTTGTTTCGGAAAGTATTAATTATTTATTGTATTAATGATCTATATATATAATTTTTTTTTATATATATAAATGGTATTTATTCAATTGTATGTCGGTTTGACCCACAATGTTAAGGATAAATGAATTAGCTAGACCTTACCAAATGAATTGGGTAGAAGTTTAATCTTGAATATTATTTGCATAATATGGGTTGAATTTTTATTTTATTTTATTTTATTTTTTGATCTCGGTTGAACTTTTATTCGAATTCATAGTTTTACGGTACTAGTTTGATATTTTCACCCTTTTATCGGGCAAAATTTCACCATATCTAGTTGCATATTTTTCCCATTGTTTGGTCCTAGCAACGAAACAAAGGGTGTGCCAGATTTACAATCAAAATGATCTAAATTGAAGATAAGCCTATGGTACAATTGCGATATCTGTGTTCAAATTGAGTTGGTCCATTTTGATTTAAATTTAAATAATTTATAATTAATTGAAAACTTAATAACAATATAAAATAAACATTTTATACGTTTCATATTTTGTGGAAAAATTCTTTTGACCAGACCCCTAAAATGAGAGAAGTGCCTAAATAAATGACGAGTGTAATGTAAGCCACTCAAGAGCGTCAGCTTAGACCGATCCCGATTCACTTTAATGGCAATGCCGAAAATTGGAATGGACTGCTTTGGTGTTGGGATGACCCCACAAAGTAGCTGCCTTTTTTCTACTCACGTCTACCACCGTCATTATGCCGTTGCGTGTCAAAGCCGCGTACCGTCGCAACCAAGCCATGGAATTTTCTTTAGGGAGTAGTTGGTACCTTATCAATATTACAAGTTTTGTGAATTTTTTTTATATAATTTGAGGGTTATTTATAATTTTTAGCATCATTAATAATTTTTAGCATCATTAATAATTTTTGTAGATTATTTATAACTATGTAAAGTCATTTATAATTTTTGAGAGTTGTTTATAATTTTAAGGGTCACTTGTGATTGATAATAAAAATTTAAGATCGATCACAATTACAATTGTAAATAACCCCACAAATATTGTAACTTAGTCACAAAAGTTATAAATTTTTTTATTTTTGTAAACAAATGTAAAAAACTTTTATTTTAACCCATAAAACTTTGACGCTACAGTATTGAAATTTTTTTGACGATCCTATATATTTCTCCATTTTTTAGTGACTAGTCCTATCTTATATTATAAATGTTTGAATTTTTTTTTTGGTTTAATGGTAATTGAGTCATTTTACACACATCTTAACTAATTTTTTTTCTAATATGATTAAAGACAAATCATCCATATTGAGATTAAAATATTCATGAGTTATCCTAGTTTGACCGTCTTTTACCAAGTTGAAAACCCCATATCATTCCAACTTCCCCTGGGATTAATATAAAATTCACATGTGCATCGATTTGAGAGATTTTTTAAATTTTTTATGATTTTTCTTAGTGTATCTAGATATTTTAAATTTTTTTATTATTTTTTTTAGTGTATGTGCGGTGGATAATCATAACCAAGTTTAGGACTCTTTACTCGCATATATAAAAATAAATTAAGCAACAGCTTGTGGCCGGCAATCGCATCAAGTGGGAAAAATTTATATGGAGGACTTCAGCTTTTGTTAAGACAAAAAAACAACCCCACATTATTTTACTACTAATTAGAAATCATTAAATATATATTTTTTTTATTGTAAACAACCTAATAGATTGTGGTTGAGAGACTTTCTCACCATCCCCACATGCTCGTCTTGTCATGAGAATTTTTGTTTAGGAAGAATTATATTCAGGTTCTCTTAAGTTTGTCACTTAATCACTTACACTCATTATCATTTAAAATATTACACATAAATTCCTTGAGATTTGTACGTGCGTAACACTTAGATCCCTAATATAAATGAACAATGTTACATGTGCTTAAAAATTAGACTTGATAATTAGAATAATTGATTTCACTGTAGGTTCCAGCATTTATTGAGATTCACTACCTATTCAATGGTTGAGATTATCAAGTCTAATGTTTAAGTCTATCTAGTATTACTCAATGTAAATATATCTATTAATAAATTATACTTAAACCCCTTGAAGTTTGTAGATATATAATAGTTAGATCTCTTAAGTTTAAAATGTTATACTTAGATAAAAAATATTTCAATCAAAGATAAAATATCAAATATTTTAAATTTTACAATTAAAATTCATATTCTATTGTATCATTTATTGAAAAAAAATCAAAAATAAAAATTCAGTTTTTTCATAAAAAATTGTAATTAGTATACAAATTATCTATTGGAATTTAATTTGGTCGTTTAAACGTCCAAATTAAAATATCAAACTACCCCAACTAAAGATAAAATATATTATGTCCATTACAGTTTGAGCCCTTGTTTATTTTTTTTAGTTTTATTCTAATAAATAGTATAATTATATATTAACTATTATTTTTAAAAAAAAAACCTAGATTTTTATTTTTAATTTTATTTCAATAAATGACATAATAAAATATGAATTTTGATTATAAAATTCATGTGTTTATTATGAATGACTTAGATCCCTTGTTTGATTGTTTAGTTTTATTCCAAAGATAGTATAATTGTATACTAATTACGATTTTTAAGAAAAAATTAAAATTTTAAATTTAATTTTATTTCAATAAATAATAGAATAGAACATGAATTTTGATTGTAAAATTTAAAATATTTGATATTCTATCATTGATTGGAGTACTTTTAGTCTAAGAATAATTTTTTAAACTTAAAGAGTCTAAGTATTATATACTTATAAACTTCAGAGGAGTTTAAATATAATTTATTAACAGATATATTTATATTAGAGGTCTAAGTGTTACGAGCGTACAACTTTTAGGGAGTCTTTGTGTAATATTTCAAATGTCAAGGGGTCTGAGTGATTAAGTGACAAACTTCAGGAGGTCTGAATGTAATTCTCTCTTTTGTTTAATGTAAGTTGGAACCTAACTAAGGACTCTTTGTTGAAATATCAAATTTAATCTGTAGAATCTCTTTACCCGTTCAAATGATTTATGCTATAGAATTGTAGCCAAACAATTCTCGTTGTGTGATTGTTTTGGGCCAGATTCATAGGGATCCGGAGATTCCGGGGAATTAATACTAACTAACCCCACAATCTCATCAATTGAGTGAATATTTGTCAAAGATAATGTTTGCAGCATAGTCTAGATAAGCATCATCATTTGGTATAATAATAAAGAGTGGAGTAAGAAGAACAAAAATAAAAGGCAGAGAATCAAGTGGACAAGCTCCTTGTGGTGGAAAGCTGTTGCTTGTTTTGAGGAAGCAATTGGTGTGTGGCTCTGGTTGTGTCATCCATAACAACCGTAAAAGAAGTGTTATGGGCTGACCATATCACTATTACTTGGATTCTGACACTGACCTTATAACTTGTGAGAGGGAATAGAGAATTTTTTTTGGTTAGAGAGATTAGAGGATTTAATTTCAGATAGTTTAAATGGTAATAGAGACGAGTTGTAAATTTAAATATTATGAGATCGAATTATGACATTCCTTAGGGTCAAGCTATGAAGGATAAATCTGTCATGAATAGCCTAATCTGGCGTGGATAGATTGCTTTTAATCAGACAAAAAAAGATATTAGTTAAGGTGTGCGTAAGAGAGACCGGACACTGCTAACCGTTGTGTTCAGAACTACATTTTAATGCTCTAGAGGTATCCGAGAGAGACCAGACACTCCTAATCGTTGTGTTCAGAACTACATTTTAATGCTCTAGAGGTATCCGAAATTTATTTCGAGTCATACCCAGATATTCAATTGATTAAAATGATGTAACAAATTAGAATTTGCAGAGAAATGACTCCATCAAATGTATATTTAACAAATTGTCGATCGTAAAATTATTACAGTTCAATTGATTTGAACCAAAAACTTACGTCTTCTGCTAAACGTATAAAAAAAGAAAAAAGAAAATAGGTCCCACAAATGGATGATTTGCTCAGTGGAAAATTGAAGCCAGCTAAACAAGTCACTTCTTGTTTGTCCCAGTCAACACAAATGGGATGGATTTATTCTCACAAATCCTCAAGTTGGACACAACCTCATTTGTTTTCTCACAATAATCAAAGGATTGCTCAATGTGGTCCTCATTCTAGGAAAGCCAATGCCTTGACACCCACTTCCATCTATCTAAACAGAT